CGCTTCTCTCCCCAGCCGTGGTTCTGTTTGAATTCCCAGGAGGTGCCCCGAGAAGGGCGGCCTTCGGTTTCTGGCTGGCCTGCCTGCCTGCAGAAGGTCAGGAAAGCCAGCCAGAAGGAGGTCCTCGAACCAACCGAGCCTGGATGGTCTGTGGAAGCGGAAGGGACCCCAGTGAGGCCCTCGGCCTTCACCCACGTCCTGAGAAGGCGAAATCTCCCTGGAAAAGGCAAGGACGCCGGGCAAGATCGAAAGCAGCAGGAAAGAGGGAAGACCCCAATGTGAGATGGGCTGACTCCCTCCAGGAAACCACAACCTCTAGGCCGCGACTGCTGAGCAGGCTGGTTGAAGACGGGAGATTGCGGCGATGGCTCATTCATAAGGTGGCCCTAAATCGGCGGTGCGTTGAAGGCACAGAACAGCCCCGGCAGCCTCAAGAGAAAAGACAGCGAGGCTGATGAAGATCTGTGGCGTGATGTGCCCCTGCTTCCTTGGGTTGATGTTGTGGGGGGTTTCCAGGGGTGGTGGATGCTCTCAAAGGAAGAGACTATCCTCCTCCTCCTTTTCCTTTTCCCTGTTTTTCCCTCATCCCTTCTCTCCGTAGCATGTTATAGAGCATTGGGAGGTGCTGCCGTGTCCCTTCGGAGCACCTTGACTCCGGACCCCTTCAGCCTTCCAGCCTCGCTCAGCGGTGTCGGCTTCGTGCTGCTTCAGAGTCCATCATGGAGTCCATTCGCAACTCGGAGGACATGTTGGCCAAAGCAAGCCAACTCTGGACAATGCTGGACGACATGGCGGAAAACAGCCCAGAGAGTTACCGCCAGTTTATGCGGCAGCAAATGAAAGAGGCAAAAGAGTATTACGCTCCGCCAGAGCCATATCTCTGCCTCAGGACCCACATTTTGGTACGTTGTGCAAAGCACTGTCTGTTTTGCTAACTTCTATTTAAAAGGACAGAAGATATGAGTGTCACACACACACAGAGAGAGAGAGAGAGACAGTGTTTTCCTGAAAATAAGACAGGATCTTATATTATTTTTTGCTCCAAAAAACACATTAGGGCTTATTTTCAGGGGATGCTTTTTTTCTCGTACAATCTACGTTCATTCAAATACAGTCAATGTCATGTTCTTCTAGTTCCTGCACAAGGGTGGAGGATGGGGTTTCACTTAACTGGGGCTTATTTTTGGGGTAGGGCTTATATTACGAGCATCCTGAAGAAACATACTAGGGCTTCTTTTCAGGTTAGGTCTTATTTTCAGGGAAACAGGGTATACACATTGCCAAGTGACTTCTAGCTACTGACTCTTGTTTTTCCTGGAATATACATTGCTGTCAATACGAGACTGTTATTTTCACTTTTGCTTTGTAACTTTAGTCAATTATCCGTCCTTAATAATTAAATTCTCTTGGATGGTTTCTACAGGCACCTACTGAAAAAATACTCTTCGTGAACATCTGCGGGTGGAATAGGGTCCCCGCACCTTGCTCACCATCTGAGCCAGTATCGTTAAGTGCTGGCAAAATACAGGAGGTGTCGCATCCGTCAGGTGAGCTTTGTTTATCCTAGAAAGCCCTGCTTCCTTTGTAGTACAGGAGAAGGATCATTCCTGGGTCACGTTAGTGAATTTAACTCTTCTCAAAAAGAGGCCAAGGGATGAAAATGACTCCTAAGGTGACTCCTAAGGCGAAGCAACGAGCTTTGTTTATCCTAGAAAGCCCTGCTTCCTTTGTAGTACAGGAGAAGGATCATTCCTGGGTCACGTTAGTGAATTTAACTCTTCTCAAAAAGAGGCCAAGGGATGAAAATGGCTCCTAAGGTGACAGAAGAACCATGTAACATGCCTTCCATCCAGAAGGGTAAATTTAAATGTACTTCATCATTTTGAGAACAGTGATGTTTAACCAGCACTTAATGATACCAGCTCACTTCAGCTAATCTTTTTTTAAAAAATTGTACTGAGTGAACCCTGGAATGGTTTCTCCATGGGAATTCTGATGTACTGAAGGTTAGCAAACAGGTTAGAATTAGTGGATATTTCTGAGAATCCTAGAGTTCTGCCAACTGACACCAACTTACTGATATCATGGCTTGTTGTTTTTTGTTTGTTTGTTTGTTTGTTTTTAAGACATGAGACATTTCTTTTTCAAATACGTTACATTGGGTGCAAAAAAGTACCCCAGTGACAAAGTGCAATAGGAGATTTTGCACTACCTCTTTCACCTGTTTTTTTAACTATACATGGCGTTTTGACTATACATGGCGTGTCACTGAAAATGTAACTTGCATCAGTTCTGCTGGAAAAATGATTGGAGCTACCAAAATGTTCCATCTGTCTAGATGAGGACTACATTTTAAAAAGCCTGTTTCTAAGCCTCATATTTGGCCATGTTCTACTGTCTTCTTCAACAGGATGTATTTAGTAGATAATTACTCTTGATTGTTTTTGCAGAACTTTACAGCATCATTGATATTGCATTTAACCCATCTGTCCTTGAGAGGAGAAATGAGGACGTGACAGACAAAGACCAGTTGATACATCTGGTGCTCAGGTATATCGAGGAACATTATGACATCACTCTGTCCCCCTCATACAGCCGCGAAAACTTTAAACTGAAAGGAAGTCTTGAAAGGATGAGGCAGAGCTTGAGAAAAGAACAGCCACCCTTGGCTTTGTCTAAGAACACAAAGCAAGGTAACTAACCTTCCTTGACCACCTTTGAAAAGACAGGCCAGAATAGACTGTTTGTGTTTTACTTCTTTATGATTAGCTCTAGAGCCAAGACATTTAATCGATGGCTACACTGACACAATTTTAACAGATTAAAAACATCCTATATACCACAAGCCAGGTCCTTTGTAAAACACATGGAGTGTGTTTTCAATGGAGTGCTTTTTTCAAACTGAGGCATGTGCGTTAGCGAAAAGGTCCTTTTCTTGCTTAGGGTCCACAAGCCAGGTCCTTTGTAAAACACATGGCTTTTCAATGGAGTGCTTTTTCCAAACTGAGGCATGTGCATTAGCGAAAAGGTCCTTTTCTTGCTTCGGGTTCTCTTTAGCCACAACTAAGTCTCAATTATCAATTTAGATTTCTCCCTTGTTTCCCTGTGGATGTGCTTCTCCTGTACCAGCCATGGTTTCCTTTTCACACTAACGTTCTGAGACAGTGGGACTTCTGTAGCTACAGGAGTTATAGCGATCTAAATCTTTTACTAAATTTCCTGTGCAAACATGGCCATGGAAAGAAGTGACCCTCTGCCACCTGGGAAACATGGTCGCCAAGGAAGACAGCGGTGACCTTCCTGTGCGGAGGAAGGACGCACAGCCGGCTGGAAGGTGCCTTATTGAGGAGGTTTCCTGCACAGAGAGCCCTGAGGAATTGTGCACACCGGCTTATGAAATCGCCACCAGGAAGGATGCCAATGGGAAACCCCTGAAGATAGAGCTGAAGGTCAAATTGCCGGAGTTGCGGCGCATTTCAGAATGTAGCCTGAGCATTTCTAAGGCAAGTTAACTGTGAGTTGGCCCTCTAAACCTTTGCTGGCTTTTCTTCTTCAGGCATTCCCTCTTTCATTGGGCACAGCTAAGGTTGGTGGTGGGTACTGCCTCTCCCTCCTTTACACAAAGACTCTCATGTTCTGTTTTAGGATGACCTGTTGCTTGAATGCCCAGGCAAATGCAGGCTGCAGCTGGATCTTCCTGAGGTTGTGAATGAAGAGGCGGCAACGGCAACATTTCACAAGAGGAAAGGGGTCCTGCTCATCACAATGCCCGTGGTGTGAGCAGAAGCGGCGAGGGCAGTAAGCGTGACAGACGTGAATATGCTACATTGTGTGTCAGGGTACATACCCTTCACGTCCTTCACACTTTGAAAGACATTGTGACGTTGCATGCGTTAATATTAACTGTGTTGGCTCTGCCTTCTGGAAGGAATCCCGGCTGCCCTTTGGACACATGCCCAGGCTCAGTGAACATGCTGACTTGGAGATAAAACCCAAGTACAGAAGCGAAACTCGACACTACGTGAAAGTGTTCCAACATTTACTTTACATGTGTTTTTTTCTCTATATGTGATTTATACTATAGTAGCCAAACTTCAGAGACTCTGCAAATGTGTCTCTTAAAGCAGTAATAAACTTGGTTGTCCCCTCATTTACTGAAACAAAGTAACCAAGCTCTATTGCTGAATTATTTCAGGATTTGAATCATATCCCCCCACAGCAATTTAAGAGTTCACTGTACGTTTTCATCTTGAAAACATGGATATAAGTACATGTTTTCCGCCAATGATAGGTATGTGGGGGCAGGTAAACTAGCAGAATGGATCTAAATATCAGTTGCCCATCACTTGAATCAAGAGTTTGCTTTTCATAACTGAAGTTGTCCAAAAAGCAGGCTGGCTTTCAGTTCAGGATGTCCTCTGGTATTCTAAATATACCACCTACCCACCCCATCTACCTAAAAGGCTGCCCATATGGTGTTTCTTAGCTGCCACCACAAATAAGTAGCTGGAATCAAGAACTGAGGAGAAACAAGAAACATTAAATTGCTCATCCCCTGCTGACAAAACATCCAATAGACCAGCACTTAACTGCAAAAAGTACACTCAGATTGCAGATTATTTAAAAAAAGAAACAGCAGGCAGACACATAATTTAAACAACTTGGATTCTAAAAATAGCTGAGAAGTGCACACAGCCGCTATGCGGGTTGATGGCACAGACCTTCCAAAGCGCACACCACCTCATGGCCTGACAGAGACACGTTTGGCTGACCGAACCAGGCGAAAGTGACCTCACCAAATAGGCGTTTGGCGGGAGGGACAATAAGGAGAAGCAGTCGGATGCACTTCAAACATTTAATGGAACACGGCTGGCTGAACAGGCCAGCTTGGAACTGAGTGAGGAGTAAGTGCAACTTGCTCTTTACCCGATTAGTAAAATGGAAGCAGAACCGCAACCAAATCAAGAACACATCACTTAGGTCTCGGAAAAATATTTTATCTCCATCCTATCATCCTCCTGAAGATTATGTCAGCGGATCTGGGAGCACAATTTTACAAGAGACAATACTTAATGCAATGCCTATGGTACAGAAGAGTTGGGGGCACATTGATGTAATGGTCTGCTTATCTGTCCAGCTTAGTGTCAGTCAGTAATCACATAATCTTCCTTTTTAAATTAACAGATCCTTTGGAAAGCAAACATGGAGGTGTTTTCCACTAGTGTATTCTTCTGTCTATGGACACTATCCTAAATGTGCCTGGTTACAATTTCAAACAGAACCCATTTCAAAGTTTTTTTTAATGTTTTTACACTATTTACATGTCCCAGGAACTTCCTGCCCCCAAAGGATGGGATAAGGAAGGAAACAATACGTTTATACAACACTGACCCTGATCCAGAGGCTGGTAGTTATGCCTGAAGAACTTCTATGCTCCAGTCATTTCAGTGGGACCTCAGAGCGTCTCGCTCCTTTTCTATTTGGGCCAGTCGTCACACAGTCCACAAGGAAACCTTCTTTGATACTTGGAACTCTCATCCATTTCATGATGAGTCCCTGCTGGATTGCATCTAATTCCAGACCTCCTGGATCAGTTTTTTATCACACATGGAACCTAACGCTGGTCATCGGATGATGAAAGCATGTTGTTTAGCTTGCAATGAACTCAAACCACACTCTGAACAAGGAGACCGGCTCAGGATGAAGCTCCGTTCACTAGCCTGGAGGGGAAGCAGGCTCTCAAAATGAAAAATAATAATAAATGCCAGGCTCACATCTGAGTCAATGAAATCACAGGACATTTACTAGAGGGGAGCATACGGCCAGAAGTGTTTTAGGCACCAATTTTGTAATGTGGTTTGAGTGGTCTAACTGGCTGACCACTTCAATAAAGTGCTCTAGAGAAAGGTCCTGTGGCTATAAAGCCAAAATAACTCCTACAATGTCAGAGTAAGAGCTGAATCCAGAGGATAAACTGGGATGTGAAGCTCCCAGCTAAACTTGTTCTATTCAACTCCTCCTCCTCCTCCTCCCAGGCGGCTAAACTAACAGGGAAGGAAGAGATCAGAACATGCAACCAGGTCCACTTTCTGTGCTGGCTTAGATACTTATTTTCTTTGCCTTTACCATCTTGGCTCCCTTGTTCCAAGAGTCTTCAGATGGCTTGGTGGACCTGAACTGCTTCTGCAGTCAGAATAAGTAGGAGTTCCTCCACATGATTTTGAACACTTTGGGCTATTTTAGAGGGGGGGGGAGGGAAACGTTTGCAAATTCATTCACTGTATAAAATACAGCACAGTTATATTTGGCTCCAGGGCACCCCTTGCAAACCACTTAAACCGGTATAAGTGGTCATAAAAATTATCAGCAACTGTATATATATAGCTCTCTCTTTAGATATAGGTATTTTTTTAAAAAATAAAGAAAGGGACATTTCTTTAAAAGTCTAAACCCTAGATGTATAAATAGCTTTTTTTTTTAGAGGGAAGTGATACGACCCAAGAAAGTCCTATTGGCCTCAAGAGATTACAGCAACATGGTGGCTGGTTTCTCCAGGAACTTCTTGAACTCGGAGAGCCACTGGGCTCCAACCGCCCCATCCACAACACGGTGGTCGCAGCTGAGCGTCACGGACATCACGTTAGCCACGTCGAACCTTGGGGGGGGGGGAAATAATCCAAACGTTTAACTCTCTACAGACCAGTTGGTAGAAATAAAATGTGTCAGAGAAGACAAACAAGAAGTAGAACAACGGCAATGATTGAAAAGCCTTCGCAGAAATAAAGCTAGCCATATTTTGGGATTTTTCCCCCCCAAAATCAAATTTCTCCTCTTAACGTGCACCGGGTTGAACCCCACCGAGGGCCCCTCGTTCTCTCAGCCAGTTTTATTCCACTTCTATCAATCCCACCATTGTCAAGTTCCTTGAATAGGGAGGTTTCGCTCCCATTTTGCTGCAGCTTCTTATACATCAAGGAAAACATATATATATAAAAATCAGCTAGGGCTCCAGTCCCACCTGTGCTCGCTCAGAGACACGTCAGATTTCGGCTAATCAATGAAAAGGTTGCTACTATTTCTGTTTTTAAAACTATTTACTATCTGGTTTTCAACCTGTGTTAGTTCAGGGGTGAGCAGAAAAGCAGACTACAATACACCACGCTTCGCTGGTCATTTGCAGTAGATCTGTGAGTGTTTCCAATTCCCAGTGGTTCTTAGTGTCAGCGCACTGGGAGCAAGAAAAAGGATCTTGTTCGCTCTAAGTTAGTTCGCTGAAACCAAGAAAACCCAGGAAGAACCAGTAACCTGGAACCAGTGGAGAGATGGTGCTTCCACGGTGCAGCAACATTTCTGAGCTTTAGTTCAGAAAGCAGGACGCTTTGCAACAGCAGCACCCTCTCCAGCTGACTTTGGTTGGGGGAATGTGCGCTCAAAGCCGCTTCACAGAAACCAGACCGCCACAATCCCTGCCTGCAAATTCTGCAACCATGAGCTCTGTCTACCTTTTCCTTAGTTGGTCCTACATTCTAGCATCAACACCTGAAAACAATTTTCTGAAAGTTTTGAAGGAGAAGGAAAGTTCTTAAGTGTTAAGATAAATTGTGAGTTAACGAACTAGTTCTACGATTTAGTATCTTCAGCGTTTCCTCCTCCTTCAAAAAATGTACGATTCCTTTTTCAATAACACACCAGCTCGTTTCTTGAGACATCTCTTAAAGAAGGTACGTTGGAAAAAAGAAAAAAAAACACAACCTACCCCTTTTCATTATCCGCTGGGACGAGTCTTTTCTCTGAAGAACCAACTGCCAAAATACAAGCCTGCGGTGGATTGATTATCGCAGAGAAATTCTTGATGCCATACATTCCTAAATTTGAGACTGTAAAAGTTCCTCCCTGTGAAGAAACATACATTAACAATTGAGTGAAGAGGAGAAGAAAAGGGTCTCTCTAAAACTCTCTTCCTCAGCCAATCATTACCACCAGAAAATCTCTCTGCCAATCTAGAGTACACCTGAGATTGCTTTTGTCCCCATGTTCCTCACCTGAAATTCATGAGGCTGTAGCTTGCCTTCCCGGGCTTTGGTTGCTAACGTCACCACATCTTGATTGATAGAAGCCAATCCCTTTATGTGCGCATTAAATACAATCGGGGTTATAAGCCCAGCTGGGGTACTGACGGCAACACTTACATCAACTACGTGGTTTCTGGAAGACAGAAGGAAGTTGGAAATGAAAACCAAGCGTGATCTGAAAGAACGTCCCTCTTTAAACTTAAGAAGGAAAAGCACTCTGGCCTTTGACAAAAGGCCGGTCTTGTCCATCCTAACATCCCCCTCTAGGCTGCAAACAAACAAACAAAAGCTAAAAGACAGTAACCTCTAGTGCCCTCTGCTACTCTAACTCAGTTTTTGCCACTGATGTGGGCATTCATTACAAATTGACTGGCCATCTTAAAACTCTATACTTACTGCCTAATTACTGAGTCTAACCAAGAGGAATTTGCTTCAGGCACCTTCAGACAAGCCAGAGCCGAAGCCTTGATAATGAAGTCGTTGACAGAAAGCTTTGTGTTCTGTGGCATCTCCTGCAAAGGCAAGATCAAGAACAGGTCAGACGGCGAAAGGCCGTCACGCTGCTCAGGTCATGCAAACGGTCTCCCTGCTTCTTCCTAGAGAGTCCAAACTGAACAGTAACAAAGCCAACCTGCCGGAAGGAAAGATTTCCAGGCCAACAGAGTAAGAAGGCTTCGTTCCAAGAATCTCGGGCGCCTCCAAACCCTTTGTCTCATTTAAATTGTTCCTGGTTGTTTTTAAAGCGGCTCCTCCGACTGTGCCCTGCCCTGAGAGATGTGGGCCAGAAATATTTTAAGTCCTTTTCATTTCTTCCCAGTGCGTTAGATCCCCGAGGTGAATGATACCCATCACTCGGCATAGAATTAATTCTGACTATCTTTCCTATATAGCTTCCCATTTCAAATTACGATTCACTAATTCTGGTTGGGAATACCAGGCTGTGGCGAATTTGATGGGCAGAGTCAAGTTTCCACACAGCTGGAATATCCACGGTGGAGAACTGCAGTATTTAAGAGATTTAGGCTTCCAGTTTAAAGGGAAACTGAAAAGGGCACGATAAAGAAGCCCATGGGCCACCCCCTCCGACAACCAGCTGACCGTCATGTTTTCCTCCTGACCATCCGGTGCTGCTGCAAAATTCACACCGCACCTTACCTGGTTCAGTTCTTTTCTTAGCACCAGTATTTGTCCCATGTCTACATCTACTGACAGATAGTAGTGAGGTATCGTTTGCTTAGACTGCATCAAACGCTGGGCAATCACCTGCGGCCAAGAAGAGTAGAACAAGGTGTCACGACTCGGTAGGCGCTGCCCAGAGAGTGTCCGACTGAAGTGGAAGGGACACGATGCAGCCACGTTTCAAAAATGCACCATCTGTTTCAGGAGCGTCTCCTGCCCTCTGCACCCACCGGGTGGTCAACCAACCTTCAAGAGTTCTCAGGGGTTCTTTAAAGAGGCCAGGGCAACGGTTTACCTTGCGGATATTGCTGACTGGAATATCGGTGAAGACTCCGGTTGGAGGTGTTGGCGCAGCGGCCACTGCTGGCGCAGCCCCTGGAGCTGGTTCTGCCACTCGGGCCTGTGGGCAGAAAATGGCTTTAGTCACACAGATTATACGAGGGCATGCCAAGTAGAGCAGGGCAAAGTGGAGGGCAGAGGTGCTTTAAGTGCTGCTATGCCCATACTTTAAAATAATAATAATAAAAAACCCTTCTAAGATCGAGAAGCCTTCTTAATGTCTTGTTTCTTTCATTGATAAAGCACTCTTTCCAATATCTACACCTTTTCTGACTTACAAACCATTCATGTGCCTGAAGGCAAGGATTTCATCAGATGGTGTGAAAAAGAGAGAGGAGCTACAGAGGGAAGCAAACTATTAAGAACTGGGCACCAGGACAAAGAGAAAACAAAAAGGCAGCCTAAAAAGGCACAGGGAGAGTGGCTATGAATATGTCAAAGCCTTGCTACAGTCAGAAAATCAGATGAACCTCTATATTTGTGCCACTTTCCCAGTGAAGCATCACCAACACGGTGCTAGTTTGGCACAGGAGATGAAGTGGACTCTAGACTTTAAAACTGGAAGCGCTAATACGGACTCCTGCCTCCCCCTTGACCAGCTGGATTACTGACAAAGGGTGGCAGGGCATTTTAAAACACGTTCACTCATCCAATCCCACATACGCAAGAGTAAAGCCGGAGCACCAAAGTCAGAGATCCTGCTGGGCCATTAGCCGACTCACCGGGGCAACCTTTGAGGGCACGAACGAGTCAATGTCTTTCTTTGTGATCCGTCCGTCCGGTCCGGTCCCTGAACGAGACATACAAAAGGAAGCAGGCTTCGTGGACCAGCCAGCCCAGGGCATCAGGGGTGGGGTGATGGAATGCTGCCTGGAGAGGCTCACTCACCTTTCACCTGCGAAAGATCAATGCCTTTCTCTGCTGCCAGCTTCTTTGCTAAGGGGCTGGCCACTACCCTTCCTTTATGTGGAGGAGGCTGGGCTGAAGGAGCGGCTGCAGGCTGGGGCGGAGAAGGAGCGGCTGCCACTTGCATCTTGAAGGAAAAGAGACACCAGAGTGGTTCGCTAGACACTGGCTCGTGGGTGCATCTGAAAACTCCCCAGTGGTCCTGCCCTCACCTGCGCCTGACTCTGCTTCCCAGATGGACAAGCCCTGCACGAGGAACACCCCTCCAGCCCAACAGATGCCACAGCACCGTGGAATCGTGTCAGGACCTCCTGGGCCCAGGAATGAAAGATCTCAATGGGAGGGAGAAGGATGATGGTCTGGCACAGAGCCCAGAACACCCCCAGAAAGCAAGCAGAGCAGCCCGGGCAAGATTTTTAGAAGTTTCCTAAGAAAAGGACTGAGGCGGCGACAGGATCAGTCTTCTCCCCTCTAAACTGGCCTCTCCGGTTACTCAGAAGGGACAGGGAGAGACGACTTTACCTCCTCTTGGATGAGGACTGGCTGAAGGAGGCCATTTCCAACGGAAAAGGCCTCTTCTGCAGCCTAAACAAGCCAGGTTGACCTGTGCTGATGTTGCTCAAGAGAAGGCTCCCAACGCTTCCACCCACCCTGACTGTGGGGGGCACCCCCTCCGGGAGTTCCACGTACAGGACTCAGTGGGGCTGGCGGAGGCTTGATCTCTGCCACTCCGGCATCTCGGTAGTCTGCAAATGCTGGAATGTCCGACTCTTTCTCCACAATAATGCAAAGCGGTGTTCCTAAAGGCACGTCTCTCGTGCCTTCCGGCACCAGGATTTTGGCCAAATAACCTTCTTCTTGCACTTCAAACCCTTAAGAGGAAAGGGAGGAAAAGAGAGAAACCATTTGGTGGCAAAAGAACTACAGGGACCCATCCTGCAGACACCAAAATTTCATTCTGAAGACACACGAACGCTCACTACGTCAACTATGGCTACAATGACTGAATCTGAAAGTTTTGGAAATGCTAGGAAGGGAAGAGAGCCTCGCGTAGCAAGGGGTCATGCCGGGAGCAAGTTTTGCAGGAAGATCCGCCACTTAACTTTGCCGGGAGACAAGAGGGCGTTCTGCAAGGTCTCTGCTCCCGCAAGCGTCACCCAAGACTCAGTGAAAGAAGAATGTGGATCGTGCCCACCTCGCATTCGCTTCACGGAATGCAAAAATTCCTGGGCCTTTTTTCTCAGCCAGGGTTTAGAAATGGCTCACCTATCGTAGCTTTGTCAGTCTCAATTTCTGCCAGCAAGTCTCCCTCGCTCAGCTTTTCACCGACCTTCTTTTCCCATCTCTGAACGGTGCCCATGGTCATCGTCGGCGAGAGGGCAGGGAGGGCAATCTAGGGAAGGGAAGCAACCCACCAGCCCTTGTTATTCCTTCTCCACAGGGACCTCTTCCCTGAACCAAAAACGACAAGGCCAACCCAGGAGGAAAGGCCGGCGGTTCCGCTACAGCCTCGACCTGTTTTCCCTACAAAAAGCTTGAATTTAAAGAAGAACTTTACAGGCAAACTGCATTATGGCCACAATTCCTTCTCCTCCTCCATCCTCTCTGTGAGAGAACAGGCAGAAGATCTTCCCAACATGAATGGTATCCCAGAGACCGTTTCAGTCTTTTTTCAGTAGAGGTAAAGACCGGAGTGTGTTCTCTTGGCAGGAGGGAAAAATCAGTCAACAGGAGTCCCAAATTGCCCTCAACCACCCTTGCTGCTGAGTCAAGAAAACACATTTTTTCTGCTCGTTTCCAGAGCCCTTCAAAGCCAGTCAGACCCTTGTATTCCTGCTGCCAGAACAACGTGGGGCTCACGGCTTGTTTAGCCTGCACCCCAAAAATGAAATGTAAAGGCAAAGATTTTTTTTAAAAAAAGAGGGCGCTCTGAAGGGCACAAATACTAAAAGAGAACGAGAGCAAAGGCAAGAAAATATTAGGGCCTACCATACCTGCATATGGGGAGGGTAGGAGCTACCTGGGGCCTGAGCGGAGGGCGGAGCGGCGGGTGGCGGAGGTGGTGGCGACGGCGGAGGAGGAGGCCCTGAGGCTGGCGGGGGACTTGCTGTGACATCCAACGTGTAATCCTTAAAGGCATCCACAAGCTCAGGCCTAGGAGAAGTCAGGAAGGCGCTGTGAGCCAATACAGAGATCTAGACCCCCCCCCACCTGCTCACGTCTGTAAACAGGAACGCAGAAGAGTAGCGACCACCCCTCTGACGGGGGCTGTTACTACAAGTGAGGAGGACACGATAAGGAGCCCTGAAAAAGGAGAAACGACACGAGGGGCCACCCCCGTAACCTCTTTAGCGCAATGGGAGAGGGTAAGGTCACTGTTCCTCTGCTCATGTACAGAGTGGTTCTTTCAGGCCAAATAAGAGCCATCTCCCTACAGCTCAGGGGACTGCAGATAATGCTTCCAGGACATTTTGTTTCAGAGCTTCTCTCAGAAGGCTGGGGGGCAGCACACAAGGCCATCCCACAGCCCTACTCACCTGTCCACAGTGATGCATATTATGGCTCCTATAGGAACATCCCGTGTTCCTTCTGGCACCAGGATCTTGGCCAAGTAACATTCTTCGAGGCTCTCAAACCCCACCGTCGCTTTGTCCGTTTCCACCTTCACGGATGGACACACACAACAGCGTTGTTACAATACACTTGAGCTACGCCCCATCAATTTCACATGACTGAGGAAGACAAGTTATGGCAGCAAGGAGGGGAAAAGGGTCTTCAACCACCGTCAGTCAGATGAAAGCATGAGGGGAGGAAGAAGGATTGCCTCTGGTTCAGAAGATTGCCAGGAGGTCAATTCTGTCAACTTGCTGAGGAACCGTTAAGGTCACTGTTCCTCTGCTCATGTACAGAGCGGTTCTTTCAGGCCAAGTAAGAGCCGTCTCCCTACAGCTCAGGGGACTGCAGATAATGCTTCCAGGACATTTTGTTTCAGAGCTTCTCTCAGAAGGCTGGGGGGCAGCACACAAGGCCATCCCACAGCCCTACTCACCTGTCCACAGTGATGCATATTATGGCTCCTATAGGAACATCCCGTGTTCCTTCTGGCACCAGGATCTTGGCCAAGTAACATTCTTCGAGGCTCTCAAACCCCACCGTCGCTTTGTCCGTTTCCACCTTCACGGATGGACACACACAACAGCGTTGTTACAATACACTTGAGCTACGCCCCATCAATTTCACATGACTGAGGAAGACAAGTTATGGCAGCAAGGAGGGGAAAAGGGTCTTCAACCACCGTCAGTCAGATGAAAGCATGAGGGGAGGAAGAAGGATTCCCTCTGGTTCAGAAGATTGCCAGGAGGTCAATTCTGTCAACTTGCTGAGAAACCGTTAATAGTAATAATAATGAGCCTTTTTCACAGCTGCTCAAAGCATTCGAATTCCCTTTGGGTGAATGGTAAGCTGCCCCCCTCCGCTGCTCTCCTGGCCCCCTTTTTTCATAGGCATTTGGGCCACTGGAAAAATCCTTTCTCAACATCAGGTAACCAGCTATAAGTGCTACACCTTTTTTCACTGATGCATGTTTAAAATTAAGCTGAATTTAATTATACATTTTTAAATTTTTGTGCGTGTTTTACTGACAATCCTTTAAAAAACCAAATAACAAGGTTATAACACAACACTTATAGCCCAATTGCCCATACAATCACATAAACAACCACAATTTATCTCGGTAAGTGACACACTCCATTCCTACAGTCCATAATGCATGCATTCTAACAAGCTTAAAAAGATAAACTGTATGCATATTTAATTATTTTCCTATTAAAGCGACTAAAATCCTGTTGCCCATCAGAGGACATCACAATCAGAAGAGACCCTCTGAATCTGTGGAGATTTGGTGAGTCAATTCCTCCACAAGTTCTCCTGATTCAGAGGGTCTACTCTAGCAGTGACCTCCTAAGCAAAGCAACAGAATTTCAGCCATGGGGTGTTTACTATAATTTTTTAAGAAAATCTTACTGTGAGCCATCCCAAACGTCAGAGGAGAAAGAAAAGTAGGAAATAGAACAAATACATTAAAGGAACAAATGAAGGGCACCCTTCTACCGAAGTGCAGGAGATGTGATTTGGGACCACGTTCAGAGCACGCTTACGTTCCTGGTTGGCTCAAAATGCTGTTGAACAGCAGGCTGCACTACTTTCAAGATACCTCTGCAATGAGATCCCCTTCACTGATCTTCTCCCCTTCTTTCTTCTCCCAACGGGCGATCGTCCCCATCTGCATCGTCGGGGAGAGCGCAGGCAAAGGCACCTACGAAAGAGGGCCACCTCAGTAGAGTGAGGGGGGGGCCGAAACCCCTGCTTTGGGTCTCCCCATTTTTCACATCAACCAGTATCACAACCCGTGTTGGGTTTACACTGCAAAACTGCCTCGGATGCCCGCCTTGGCTAAGAAACCCAGTTGAGGAATTTTAAAAATTCCCCACCAAATAATTACTCTGTCCACACAGAAGGGAGATAATAAATGGGACGTCAGGATGTGACCAAAGAAAACCCGAACAGGGGCTCTTGGGGGTGCTTTGGGCCGCCTTGAAGGCCTTGGCTTGGGGTGCGAAGCCCCAAAGCGTGCAAAGCCAAGCCGGCAGGGCGGCAGAGAAAAGGAAGGAAGACCCCCCTCCCAGAATGGAAAGAAAGTGGGCTGCCCCACGAGGGAGGGGAGGGGAGGGGAGGGAGGAGCAGCCTGCCCTCTGCCCTTTGGCAGGCTTACTTAAAACACAGGCTTCAGAGGGTTCCTGTCAAGAGGGAATAAAGCCGGAATAGTTAAAGGATCTGCTCGAAAGCACAGCCTTTTCAAGGCACCCGAAGGGAGAGGATTGGGGGTGGGGTGGGGTGGGGGGCCAAGGTGACCAAGAGTCTGGACAGGGGCTCCTCTGTGGTGGCAGGCAGGCAGACCCCAAGCCCTCCGAGGGGCGGCAAAGGCCCTCCCCTCCCCTCGCCTCCCTTTGGCCCCCAAGCTCCGGAGCAGAAGACCCAGGGCTGGCTCTCGGGGGGGGGCGGGGGG